ATTCTCACATATATATATATATATATATATATATATACTACACAACGCCTATGGGAGAAAATGAACAGTATTTTCACCCATATGCTCGGCGCCGTCTGATTTTTTCATACGGCATGGATTAAAATACCGCAACGGACATAGTAGGTCTATTGCGATAAAAAGCCACACGAAAAAGTATGACATATATGTTTAAGAAAAAAGTTTGTACTAATGTGCGTCAATTTTACATAGATTGTGTAGATTTGGTATTGCCTTAGGAAAATTGTTGCATGCGGGCTGGACTGCATTTCTACACAATACAGTACAGCGGTATAAAGCATCTATCTTAAAGAATCGGCCAGCTTTATGTGGAACTATTTGATTCCCGTTCAGACCGGGAATAATATTAGTTCCACCACTTGCCCTATTTCCATTCATATCGGTGTTTTTTCCAAACATTACTTAAAATAAATCAGTTAAAAAAGTAAAAAAAACGAGGAGGATTGTGGTGACTGTGGACTTCCTCAAACTAAAATAGCTTGACTCCTGTCCCTGAACTCTCCGAACTATGCAAATTTTAAATTACTTCTTTCAAAAAAATAATTTTTGTTTTAAAGCCAAGCATATTTAAATTTTTTTTTTAAAAAACAAGACCCGGGTGGGCTTTGCTCGAAAAGCCTGTTGGCTGGCCTTCATGTGCCATGATTTTACTTACTATGCAAGAACTTAAGACAAATTGGCTTTTTCATGTACCAATGTACCTTACCTTCTTTCCCCTGATCCCGAGTCTTTCTAGTTTCAGGCCCACTGCGCATTAAGGTGGAGGAGTATAATGGAACTTTGCCAGCTCTTCGGTACAATCCTTATTCTTGGACTAAGGTATGTTTGTTTTTTTGTTTATGATAATTCCTTTTTTCATCTCATATCCCATGTGGGTTTTTTCCATGTCTCGCGTGTTAACACGAGTCGAGCTTCGACATGTATCAAGCACCGAGTACATGTCATATTAGAAAAGAAAAAATTATCAAAATACTTGTAAGAGATGAATCACTTTAAGATTTTACCCTTTTATAACTATTCCAATTCAGGTCTATGTATTTTAATATGGGTATTTGAGAATAAGATGAGTATGTTATAAGTACGAGATTCGAATTAGCCGAATCACCCGATTTCTACCCATTTATTTTTATTATTTTTTAAATTTTCAAATTACAAATTTCTCAAATCTAGATTTTTTTTTTGGGTCTGATTCTCACCATGAAGAATTGGTCCAAACTATCTAGGATCCATAATAGGGATTGGTCCAGTAGGTGCCGATCCTACCCCCCAATTTGTTTTTTAAAACATTGCTCCCAATTATGTATACAAGTGCCTGAGCTTTAGAAGCAGGAGACATTACTACCTCACTCTAAAGGCTGTCAAGTTTGGGGTTATAGTTTAGCCTTTTTTTTTCGAAAGGAAATTTATCAAATACCGTTTGAGAGATGAACAATTTAACACTTCTGACAGAATTGGGTAAGTCTATCGCAATCGAACTCATTCATGATTCCTACTATGAAGTAGGCTGGTACCCATTAATTCTCGATCTGGATCGCTTATTTCTGATCCAAATCGCGAATCTTTTGAACTCTAATAGAAAACATTACCATATATGTACAAAATGATGATGAACCTTATCGCACAATGTTTGACCTCGAGACCCATCATTCGAATTACAGTAAGGAGCTACCACTACAAAGGTGAGTGGGAAGTATAATATGCACGTTCTATTATACAACTATACTATTATTTAATATAAAATTTTTTTATGTACTGATGTGTCTCGTCATGCCAATTTTGGGAGAAAAACTTCGGGTGGGGTTTATATAAGATTGAGATGGTAAAGAATCAAAGTAAGCGTAAAGATAATTTTTTCAGCAAAAATCTATATCATGGCCTGAAAATATATTTTTTATATCTAATTATTGAAGGAAAAAGTTTACATAGAGACGAGGCTCAAAACAATAAAATTTGAGCCTACTTCGTAAATTTCACTAGAAGAGGTTTTCATTCTCAAATATCTTCAAATTGATCATCTTGACATAAAAATGCATAGACATGAGAAAAAAATGGATTTTAAGTTTTGGAAATAGTGTATTTTGTAATGTATATTTGGACCATCAATTTTCAAAATTTTCAAGTTTTCATAGATCTATCGATCTACACTATTTTTAAAGCTTTAAACTTTATAAATGAATATAAAATATAATTTAAGGCTATCACAAAGATTTTCAATAATAAAATCACATTTCTCGATGCTATTTGAAGGTAGGCTCTAATTTGATTGAGTAGAGCCGGGACTCTATATAAACCACACCCATTATTAAATTATGTAGAATGAGTAGATTTATAAGACTTAAAAATATTAAAAACTGACCATCCCAAATAATATATTACAAGATACACTATATTTCCGATTTAAAATCCATTTTTTTCAAGGTCAAGATGATCGATTAGAGGCCTCATCTAATGAATTTTTAAAGTGCACCTTACTTTGATTGCCTCAACCTTATATAAACTTTTTAACAAAGATATGTTAAGAGTCAACGAACACTGATTCATCTTCAGGTTGCTAACGTAATATATGTGGATTCACCAATTGGAACTGGCTTTTCATATTCCAAATCCCCTCCCGACTATGCCACCAGCGATTCCAAGACTGTCAAAGATCTCCATAAATTTTTGACCAATGTAAGTAACTCTACCGTCAACATTTATAACTACTTTTCCTCCCTAAATTATGATGACTGATAATATAGTGTTTCGTCATGTGTACAACAGTGGTTCATTGAATACCCAGAATTCTTGTCAAACCCACTGTACATTGCGGGGGATTCCTACTCAGGAATAACAGTCCCAGTCTTAACTTCTGAAATAGCCAATGGTACCCCCACATTACTCTCTCTCTCCGAAAGTTGTTTTTTAAAGCAGAAATGATGTGTCATACTTGATTTCTTTGAGTGAGGTGTTGTTGCAGGCATTGATTCCGGTTATCGACCTGTTTTTAATCTCAAGGTTTGCAATCTCAAATGAGGAAATGATTTGTGATGAAAATATTGTATTCTTATGATATCAGAGGGTTTTTAATTCGTCAGTTATGGCTTTCAGGGTTACTTGGTGGGCAATCCAGTCACAGATGTTGAGTTTGATTCCCAGGTAGTTCCATTTGCTCATGGGATGGGCCTCATATCAGATGAATTGTTTGAGGTATTGGGGATTTTTTCATTGCTTATTCTTATTTCAAGTTAGCAATGGTTTAGGGTATTTTATTTTTATTTTTTAATCTTACAAACAATGTTGCACCAAATTTGGGATGTGAAAAATCTAATAGAGGTGCCACACATCATAAAAATAAAGGAAAATAAGGTATATCTCGGTTATACTTACCGTTATTATGAAAATACCTTAAAGTTTTCATTATTATTCATATATCTGTTTTTTCAACTTCTTAATATTTTTTTTTTTAAAAAAGACGGAGCTACCCATTTTCGGTTTTTCAAAAACCAAAATCTTTTAAAATTTCGGTTTTCAAAAATCGAAAATTTAAAATTTTTGATTTTTAAAAATCTGAATATTTATAGTATAGTGCTTCCTACATAGTAGACCTCTTTTCAAGAGGTCTTCCCTTCCCTGGCCAAACTTTATGCAGCCCCAAAAGACATTGTAACATATATGCTTTAGATTTACATTGTAGCATATATGATTTAGATTTGAGGTATTAGAATAAGAGTAATGATCTTATAGGACCTTCTCCTACTATGTGTAGGACCTCAAAAGACCATCATTAAAATTTGTACATATCTTTAAAAAAGTTATCCCATGAATGTAGAACTTGACTTTTCTAGAGATCTATACCAATTTTAATGGTGATCTTTTGAAGATCCTCTACACTCGAGTGGTAGAGGGTCCATAAGATCATTTCTCGTATAATAATTAAAGTAAAAAACTTTATCGTGTTTTGGAGTTTAAAAAAAAAATAGCTCTCATCAGAATGGAAGCCAATACCCGTAAAAGAAGTCAACTATGTAGGACGCACTAACAAACACACCAACCCGCGACTTACTAACAAGAAGTTGTGCTTATACCCAACCCAATATTTTTTGCCAGGTGCGCCACAATAAGGTGAGATCATGTCCTAAATTTTGCTTAAAATTCTTTTGTAGAAAGAAAACTAAAAATCAAATACCATTTGACATGACATCGTGAGAGAAAAATCCAAGTCGTAAATTCAGATCAGATGCGCGTGGCACCACATGTAAAGCTTTTCCATCTTTAAATGAGCTGATGAATATATCTATAGGACTGCCAATAATCATCAACTCGAATTTAAATGCTATTGCAAGAAGGAAAATTTTGATGTTTTTTTTGGGAAATTCTCTATTTATGTATAAAGAATTTGTTTGTCCAGGAAATAGCAATTTTATGTACAAGAATTATTGTATTTGCTGGTATCAATTTTAAGTGTATTCATCCAATATTGATTGCATTGAGTTTGGTCATGAGTTGCTGCATTTTGTGCTACTGGTGCAGGTTCTTTGATGTCCACTTATTGATCTTATTCAGGGTTAATATTGATTGCATTGAGTTCGGTCATGAGTTGTTGCATTATGTGCTACTGGTGCTGGTTCTTTGATGTCATTAGTAATCTTATTCAGAGTTAATAATCTTAGATCAGTTGATGGTTACAAACTTTCCAATATGGAGCATCTAACTAATTGAATACATGGCAATTGATTTGGCTGGGAATCATATCTATGTATTACAATGCCTTTCTCTGGTTGGGATTCCATCCCATGAGTTGGGATTCCATCCCATGAGGAGGGACCCAACATCATTTGATAAGGGAATGGCAGACCCCCTCAATGGCATTAGTCCGTAGGGCTTTTCGGGAAGAGTTCTTAATGATTTGGAGGCCAAGATATCACCTAGAAGTCATAGACGAGCGAGAACGAGCGTCCAAATGGTGGATCTTTAAGTCGCCGGTTTGTAGACAGCCAGGTGAAGTGAGGCTAGCATATATAGATGAGCAAGGTTGAACCTCCAAACAATGGATCTTTAAGACTGCTGGTACAGAGAAGAGACTTGACATACCGACTGTGAGTTTTATATACCTGCGAAGTGGTCCCACACTACAATGAAGTGAACTGAACCACTTGGTAGTCATTGTTGGACCTCGAGTGCATCAGTGTGAATTGCCATTGAAGTGAAGTGTGGACTAGAAAGGAACTGCTGGTAATTGTTGACTATTGGTGTAGGAGGACTGTCGGTGGAACCGTGGAAGAGTGCTTCCAGTGATTATCTGGTAGACCATCAATGGAAGACGTGTACCACCGTGTGAGACTGTTGGTGTGCAACTGTTGGTGAAGAGAATGTATACCTCTGCTGAGAGGAAAGACCGTCAATGCATCTTTAAATTGACAATAAAGACAAGTGAGTGGACCATCGGTGTCAGTGAACTAGACCGCTGAAGAATTCAGATAATACCATTTGTTTTGGTTGTTTATGTGGACCAAATGATGGACTCCAGTATCGGGAGCAAGATGATTGTCCTTAGCAAGAGCAATTGGATCATAAGGAAATCAAAGATGGAAGATCTTCTATATTGTAAGGACTTGTATATGCCTTTTGAGGGGGGTAGAAACAAGCTTGAAGGCACATCTGATGAAGAGTGGCAATTAGACTGAAAAGCAATCAGAGCAATTTGACAATGGTTGGCAAATGTTATTTTCCAATCCATCATGTGGAGTGAGATATCCCCCAAGTCACTATGGAACAAGCTACAAGATCTATATGAGAGAAGACTATTAGGAATAAGGCTTCTTGATGTGGAAGTTAATGAACTTGAAGTTCAGGGATGGAGTTTCTATTGTAAAGCACTTAAATGAGATGCAAAACATCGCCAACCATCTTGCAATAATGAAAGACTTTAGATGATAAGTTGCGTGATCTGTTGTTGCTCAGTTCATTATCAGACAGTTGGGAGACATTGGTGATCTCCCGAAGCACCTTAGCGCCAAAAGGAAAGGTGACCATGACTCAGGTCAGAGGTCATTGGTAGTATGCCAATGGAGGAGATAGGCAAAAGATCCTCCAACACATCCACTTCACAAGCTCTTGTCACAAATTAAGGAAGGTCTAGGAGTAGAGACCAAAGTAACTGATCTAAACCCAAAACTAGATTGAAGTCTAGAAAGGGTTTTGACAATAATATGAATGGGTACATCAAGAAAGAGCATATGAAGCTCATAAAAGTGTGGAAAGAGAACAATACCAAGAATGGTGCAAGGAAACTGCTGCAGTGACCATTAAAGTGATGTAGGGGTAGTTGGAAACTATAGTGATTAGTGCATCAGTGTTTCATAGACTTTGTACATTGATTGGGTTACAGATGTTGAAGCATTGTTTCATGTTATCCCACAGATATTGTTTTACTTCCTATAAGGCAGGAGCTTTTGGTATTGTAAAGATGGGGAAAAATGGTTCCTCAAAGGTTGTGGGAAGAGTAGATGTATACATCAAGACTAATATTAGGATGTTGGTAGTACTAAAAGATGTTAGGGATGTACTAAACTTTTGAGCCACATCTTAGGAAGATACTTGGATGATGAAAGGTACCACTCAATATTAAGTAAAAGACATTATAAGCCGACAAAGGGATATCTTGTGATGGCTAAAGGCAAGACGTATTAATTTCACTCTATAGAACAATCTGTGCATATCTCCAGTGGTGAGGTTGATGCTGCAATGGAAGAATCCTTGTTAGACCTGTGGCATAGGCATCTGGCCACGTGAGTGAAAAAAGAACAGAGATCTTAGCAAAGCAAAGAAGTAGATCTATCCCAACATCTAGAATTTATCTCTAACCCACCATTGCTTGTTTTGTAAGTAACATAAACACTTTTTCACTAATAAGAGCTCTATAATTGATATAGAAATCCTTGATATGGTGTATTTAGATATGTGCAGTCCCGTGGAGGTGAAGTCTCTTGGTGGCACTTCATATTTTATAGATGATGCTTCATGGAAAGTGTTGGTGTACCTAATGAAATAATAAAATCAAGTGTATCAAGCATGAAATGAAGCACAAGATCACAATGCCACATAACCCTAGTATAATGGTGTAGTAAAGAGAATGAATCAAACCATTATAGCACGCTGTATACCATCAAGTTATCAAACCATACTAGGGTGAAATAGACCTCACAATAAGCTATCTTATAAGCAGATCCCTATCATTTCCTATGGATGATGATATATTCGAGAGAGTTTAGACTGGAAAAGACATCTCTTATTTACAATTGAAGTTGTTCAAGTGCAAGCCATTTGTGTACGTGCCCAAGGAACACATATCCAGGTTGGATGAGAAATGACTCCTATGCATATTCTTGTGGTGCTCAATGAAGAGCTCTGCTACAAGCTATGGAACCTTGAGAATAAGAACGTGATCAAGAGTAGAGGTGGTATTTCAGCAAGACATAACATTGAATATGTGAATAATCCAAAACATCAAAAATTTTCAATGATTTTACAGGATCGAGTCATAATTCCTCCTACCGTAATATATGATCGACATAGGGGAGAATTGCAAGAAGAGGATGAATCCCATGAGAGTGACATACCAGCTTTGGGTGCTATGGAGCAAGGGAAGCAACCTGTTGAGATTGAATTGAGAAGGTCCTCAAAAAGATAAAAACCATCAAATAGGTACTCTGCATTAAAAAATGTCCTTCTAATTTATCAGCGGTGAACCAGAAAGCTACAAGAAAGCTCACCGTGATGAACACAAATTAGGTTTGCTAAAAGATCAGTGAGATTGATTCCTTGCATAACAACCACATCTATGAAATAATATAGTTGCCAAAACGAAAAAAAAAGAACTTAAAAACAAGTGGGTATTCAAACTAAAAACTGAAGAGAAGAACCGAGAACCAAGCTACAAGGGAAGAGTAGTTGTGAAAGGTTTCAAGAAGAACATGGCATCGATTTGTTGAATATTTTTTCCTGTGATGAAAGTGTTATTAGTTCGTGTGGTATTTGGTATGACCGCATGCTTGAATGTAGAAGTTAGGCAACTAGATGCAAGACTGCATTCTCCACTGTGATGAGGAAGAGATATATATCCAACTGCTAAAAAGATTCAAGGTATACAGCTTCAAAAAAAAAAAAGGATTCAAGGTATAAGATAAATAATACAATGCTTATAAGCTGAAGAAGAGTCTCTGTGGTTTGAAAGAGGCCCCAAGTCAGTGGCACAAGAAGTTCAATTCCTTCTTGTAGAAATGTGGGTTCAAGATAACAACCTCAGAGCATTGTGTGTTCATTAAGAAATATTTGATGTTGAATTTATTTTCCTTTTGCTCAATATTTGATGATATGCTGGTTGTTGATAAAGACATCGACAAAATTTACAGATTGAAGCTAGAGCTAAGGAAGTCTTTTTCCATGAAGGACTTATGATCAACTCAACGAATCTTTGGCATGAAGCTTTCTCGTGGCAGAAAGGCTGGTGTCATAAAAAAGATACATTGAGAAAGAGCTCGGAAGTTTCAACATGAACAAGACAAAACCTTTCGGTTCTTCACTTGGTGGTCACTTCAAGCTAAATTTTGAGAAGAGCACTTCAAGTGAGATAGAAAAGGAAAAAATGCATAAAGTATGCATCGACCATCAGAAATTGATGTATGCTGTGGTGTTCATGAGGCCAGATATGACACATGCACTTGGTATGATGACTAGACACATGGCCATTCTTGGTAAGGAACATTGGACAATATTCAAGTGGATACTGAGATACCACTAGGGGTCATCCAAAGCTTTCTTAAGCTTTCGGGAAGGAAACCCATGCTACATGGATACGTAAATGCTGAAATAGCAGGAAATATTGACTCGAGAAAGTCAACCTTAGGATCTTATTCGCTTTTGCAAGGGAGCTGTATCATGGCACTGCAAATTGCAAAATGTGTGACCATGTTAACTACAAAGGCCAAATGCACTGCAATCACTGAAGCTTGCAGCAAAATGTTGTGGATGAAAAGATTCCTTAGTTAGGCTTGAATGAGGATAGGTTATCGTTCCCTACGCAGTCAATGTACAATCCAATTGCGCAAGGATGCAAGCTTCCATTCAAGATCAAAGCGCATTGATATGCGTTATCAATAGATTTGTGATGCCCTTGTGAAAACATTGTCATAGCTAGGGAAGATCCATACCGACAAGAATACATTGGATATGATGACAAAGATCTTAGCTAAGGAGAAACAAAAGCTGTGTAGAAACATGACTGCAAGGGCTTCCATTTAAGAACTAAGTTGATATGCAAGGCTGAATGCTCATCATGAGACTGAAGGGGGAAATTGTTTGGGTTCCCATCCCATGAGGAGTGGCCCCAAAATCGTTTCAAAAAGGAATGAGAGATTTTTAGGAAGAGCTCGCAATGACTTAGATACTAAGTTATTCATCAGGATTCATGAAGAGTTGTGGCAAAGTTTTATGCTGGTTGTCTACCTACCTCTTCCTTTACCCAGCTCGGGACTGGCATGACTAGTTGGGGGGTGGCGAAGGCGAAGTTACCTTGGAGGCCATGCCTTCGAGAGGCACGTTTAACTTTAACATTAGAGAGAGAGAGAGATAGAGAGAGAGAGAGAGAGAGCTCTGGTTGTTAAGGGAGAAAGCCTAATAGAGAAGAAAAGCCTCTTAGAGAGAGAGAACGATAGTTAGAGAGAGAGCTCAGTTAGAGAGAGAGCTCAGTTAGAGAGAAGAAATCTTAGAGATAAGAGATCCTGGAGAGAGAGAGAGAGAGAGAAAGAGAGA